CACCATACTAGACCTCCCTGGGATTTTTTTTTTTTTTTTTTTTATGAAAGTGTGACTGAGTAGGAGAAAAATTAAAATTCAAGTGTTCTGAGTTCTAATGACATACCATGTAATAAAACATACTAGTCTTGAGCCAGGGATTTAGCTCAGTGGTACCACGCCTGCCTCGTAACCAAAAGGTCCTGAGTTCCATCCCAGGTATCGAAAAAAGAAAAAGAAAAAAAAAAAACAAAAGCTCCCCCCAAACATGATAGTCTTTCAATCTCTGGGGCCAGTGCTCTTGTGGGGAATAATATACTTTTATTTTTAAAATAATAGTTTTCAGTTCCTTGTTTGAAAAGTGTCATAAATAATCCAAGATTGCATCTTTATAACATTCACATCATCATGATGTGCAACAAGGGCAGCTGCCTTCTACTGTGTCCCCTGATACCTAGACAGGGCTCCCTGAATCTGTGTAGTGTCATTGTGGCTTTCTTGGCCAGGAACCTGCCTGACACATAAGTTCCTGACCTTCAGCATGGTGGTGAGTATTATAAGCTAATACACTGCTTGACAGATATCAGTAAAATTCAACTCATTTTTAGAAAAATAACTCTGGGGGCCAGGGATTTAGCTCAGTGGTGCTGCCACCTGCCTCACAGGCACAAGGTCCTGAGTTTGATCAGTGGTACCAAAGAGGAGGAAGAGGAGGGAGAGGGGAGGGGCAGGAGGAGGAGGAGGAGGAGGAGGAGGAGGAGGAGGAAGAATTCTGTGAAGTTTACCTAAGCCCTCAGTTAAGTCTCTAACACAAATGCCATCTCAAAATAATGGTATCCCTAAAACTATTAATTTTGAATTAATTACTGTGTTTTACTTATTAACTAGTAGGTATTGTCCAGTTTGATAAAATGACTAAACTTTAATCTGTTTACTTTTTAATTCTTCAGTTTTATAATATTTTAACATCAACTTGGCATTTGTACTGTACTATATTTTATAATGTACTGTATTTGGACATTTTCCTAAATTTTACATAGGAATAATACAATATCCAAAATCATCATTGTTTAACTCTTTTGAAATTCTATATTTCTCTAATAGTTTCTAATACATTTTTAATTTTTCTGACAAATAGCAACTACTTTCTGCTTGTTTATGAAGTAATGTGGTACTTAGATGTATGTCTACAAGGTGGAAAGCTGAGATCAGAGTATTTAGCACATTTATTGTCTTATACATTTATCATTTCCTTTTGCTTTTCAAGTCTCACCTTAAAGGTCACTTTTTCTAGAATTGATACTTTCCAGCCTCAGAACTTTATCCATATCCTTCATAAACTGCCTGGTTTGACATGATTTGGTTCACTGTCTGTTCCCTCCCCTGTAAAGGCTGCACCAGAAAGGACTGGATGTAAGCTTGAGCTGGCTCACCCCGCATTTGCCACAGGAAGAGGCCTTGAGTGACTACAGCACTGTCCCACAGAAAACTACAAAGGAGAACAGGAAGGTGATTGCACCGACTGTGAATCGAAGCTATCAATAAGGAGCTGCCCGACCCTCTGATGTTCTGCACCTAGGAGGGACATGTTGCCCATGTGGTACTCTTGCCAAAAATGTTGAATCCGAATATAATCAGGAGAATACAATCGAACAAATCCAAGCTGGGTGGACATTAGCAAAACAGCCAGCCTGGATGAGGTTGAGGGGAAAGAGAATCTTCCTACCCCCGGTGGGAATGTAAGTTAGGACAACCACTGTGGAAATCAGTATAATTCCTCATAAAACTAAAAATAGAAATTCCAGTACATCCAATGATGCCTCTTCTGGGCATCATCCCAAAAGAGTTAAAGGCACCATGTTACAACGATACATTCATACCCATGTTTATAGCAGCACAACTCACAATAGCTGAATCTTAGAAGCAGGCTATATACCCATCAACAGCTGAATGAATATAGAAAATGTGGTGTGCATATATAATACACAATGGAGTACTACTCTGCCATAAAGAAGAAAACATTTCAGTAGGAAATAGATGCACTTTGAGATCATAATGCTAAGTGAAAAAATAAGGCATAGAAGATTAAACATTGCATGGTTTTTCACATAAGCAACTCAGGATAAATAATTTAAAGAGTAAAATAAAAGATAATAGAAAACAGGGAGATAGAATATTTGGAGATAGGAAAAGGATGAGGGATGGGGAGATGGGAATGTGGGGAGAGAAGGGGGAAGAAAAAAGGATCGTGATGGACTGTGTATGTGCCAGTTGATGAATGTATTTATTTTGTATAATAAAACATATACTCATACTCCACCACCTGCCTTGCAAGTGCAAGGTCTCCGGCACCAAAACAACAACAACAACGTATACTCGTGAAAAAGGAGGCCCCAGCTAGCCAGGACTCTTCAGCAATCTCAACAGCACAGACCTGCAGTGTGTCCTTGATTAAAGGGGCCTCAGTGACAGAAGTAAAGCGCGCTTGTCAGATTCTGGATTTGATCTTGGATTTTAAAAAGGAAGGCGTGGAAGAAGGGAGACAATGTGGCTCACAGAAGAACCCAACGGGGGGAATTTAAACAAAGGATGTATATTACAAAATGGTATTGTATCGATGTCAGATTTGGTGCGTGTGACCCATGTATTGTGGTTAGGCAGAGGAATGCATACTCTTGACTTTAGGAATCACCCACCAAATGTTTAGAGATGAAGTATTATAATATCTGCAACTTATCAAATGGTTCCACAGAAAAATGTGAGTTCCCCAGATGTAGGCAGACCAGGGAGAAGAGACAATTTGCGGGGAAAGGTTGACAATAAGTGAATGCAATTAAAGAGTATAGGAGTGTGCAACTTTTCGGTA